ATTTATTTGATGCTTAGTAGCTTACTTGACATGGTTGCATCATACAACGTTGCTGTCATTGATGCTGTCTTTATTATTTTTATTATTCCTCATATCTTTTTAGATTTTTGTCTTTATTTAAATCATTTTAGTGAGTTGAACTTTTTCCACATAATGGCATTTCGACAAAATTGAAAAATAGAAGAAAATTCATTAATGTTTTAAGTATTTATAAGAATAAAAGCTAAAAGTTTAATTTTGAACAGATTTTTTAATCTATATAAAATTTACAGCAAATGATCATCTAATTACAAATCTTTCTAAAGTATGTCCCTTTAATGCAGTGCATAGTTGATGCTGCTATTTATTCAGTTTTTAGTTATCATAAGGGTGTTATGCCCCAATTTCTGGTTAAATTTGATACCAAGAAAATGACAGATCAAATATATTTATAGATAAAGATGACTGATTCTATTGGGAAAAGAAATTCTGAAAGCAAAATTGAAGTGCTTATTCCACAGTTTTAGGTACTATTTCCTAGATTATCTACATTAATGATACTGACTTATACTAGAAGGGTGTTTTCCCAACATGAACTGTTACCTTGACAAATCATGCAGCATAATTTAAATCTCCCCCGAGGAGAATTTTCACTGTGTCCGGGAGACAAAATTAAATGCACTTCTTTTGACTCATTAATGTTGTTGCCACCATATAGAAAAACTTTTGCAATGAACAATAAAAATTAAGTGGAGTAACTGGGATGATTGTAGGTAAATATCAGATCATGAAGTCTGTTTTCATATCTACAAGCTATGATAATATCCTGTAGGTAGTTTAAGCTTATTTCTAGTAGAAATCATTTTATATATTGATAGAGTTCATAACCAAATAGAAAAACACAATGAACTGTTTCATTACATAACATTTTCTGATTTAGAGACAGTGCGGTTTTCTAGTATTTATTACTGAATTTGTGGATAGTTGGATTCTACTAAGCATAAAATATTTTCAAGTGTTTCAAAGTCATTATAGTAATTTGTTTTTCACTCTTCTGTGAGAATCATTTGTCTTTTTAAAGATAATTCATTATCTGCTTTTTTCTGCAAATATTAATCCAATAGTTTTATTATTATTTTTGTTGTGATTGGTCTTGTGAATAAACTAGCAGGAATATTTGACTTCCAAATTTCTCAACCTACTTCTCTAATGGCTGCACATTTATCTCCCCTCCTTTGTTATAGCTTCTGATATGAATGCTATATTTATGTGTCATCATCTGTAATAAAATATTTGCTTATTAATTTATTGCAATAATCTTTAATAAATAGAGAAAACATACTGTGATCTACTATAGTAGGAATATAAGGAATTTGGATCTTTGTCAAATATTGCAGATAACTAAGATTTAATAGGAATTTCTTTTACATCTTATCTTAGTCTAATAATATCTAAAATAAGCATAATGCCCCAAACAATATTGATTTTTCTAAGAATAATGCTCCTCTCTAATATTAGTAAATATTTTAGGCACTGGTACACTCATGATCATTCTTATCACTGTTGCCAAAATTATATATGAATAAACTCAATACTTTACTTCAAGATTCCTACATCTTAGTGTGTAAGAGTAACAAAAATAAAATCTTGGGCACAAAAGCCAGTCATCTTGTATTCTATAGCTCTTGTTAAATTTCAGTGATTCTAAAGGGAACCAATTAAACAGATGTCTTCCAAGACCTCTTTTAACCTGGAATTCTATTGGCCTATGTCTATTGTGCTAGAAAGAAGGCACGCTCAATATGTTTTTAATAACCATTGAAAACCAGCAATAATTTTTAACAAAGTTTATATACTTGAAATTTTTTCTATGGTATATGAAATTACTTCCAGAATATATTCAAAAGCCCTAGGCAGAGAACTTCTTTTTTCAGAATAACTCATATTTAGATTTCAAACAAAAACCTAACAACATTCACACTAGAGCTCAGGGCAAAAGTTGGTTCACTGAAACATGCATTTGAAATTTAAATTTCCCTACAATATTCCTACCACTCAGTGACAAAATCTACATTTTGACACATCCTTTGATCAGTACACTATATTCCAAAATAACTATAACTATTCAAAATATCTTAGTTTGGGTGAGAGCTTGTGTGTGTGTGTGTGTGTGTGTGTGGCATAAACATAGTACTATGGTATATATCTCATGTCTTCCAAGAAGTAGGTAATCTTTTCTAATTACACTGATATGGGCAGCACCAAGATGCTTTTGAAAAGCCATAGGACTGCCAAAATGGTTAAATATGAATCTTTCCCCACTATCAGTTTTCAGCTCTAAAAGCAAAGAGAATTACTCAATTGCAGAACCTTGAGTTTTCTATCTGCAAAATTTGGAAATCATGGTTCTGTCTTAGGGGTTAAGAGCACTTGCTACATAATCACAAGGACCTGAGTCCCAACCCGGACACCCATACACAAAGGTAAGTATGGTCCTCCACAGGCTTATAATCCCAGCACTGATGAGAAGGGAGATCCCTGTGGCTTGCTGGCTGCCATCAGATCCAACAACCTGAGCTTCCAGTTCATAGCCCCCACCACAAAGGAACAAAGCAGAGAGTGATAGAGTACAACACTCAGTGTCCTCTAGCTTCTGATGCACACAAACAAGAACACATGAACATGTAAGTGCATACACATACATGCATACATACATATTTACAGAAAAAAAAGATTTCAGAACGTTCTGTTCTTACGTATCTGTACTAAGGATGAGTGTAGCTGATATATGTTAGGTTTATGTCATTGTGCCTGTGGCATAGCTCACAGCCATTTTACATTCTCCAAGAATGCCAGGCCACAAGGCTGAAATGCTCAGCTGTTAAGAGCACTGGCTGCTTTGCAGAGGACCCGGGTTTCATTCCCAGAACCCACATAGCAGCTAGCAGCAATTTGTAAACTCCAGTTCCAGGGGATATGATATCCTCTTCTGACATCTGCAAGCATTTCACAACTTACATTCAGGTAATACACTCATACACATAAAAAATAAATAAAATATTTTAAAATAGAATTCCAGGCTAGTAGGAAACAAGACCATTTCAGAACATAATTCCAAGTGGGTGCTCCACCTGTGCCTTAAAAGACTACTACATATATCCCATGGCACTTGATTCTGAATGATGGATAGCCTTTGTGTAGCAGTGTTCAGGAACAAATTGTAAAGGTATCAGATTTTCAGAATATTTCTACCCAAATGGGATTATCAGTAGCTCTCTGCATGAAAAGCATATCTATATCACATATATGGGGAAATTTATTCTATTTTACCCTTCAGAGAGAGATCAACTGCAGTAACTTGATATTGGGGCTAAGTGCTGATGTCTTAGCATTCCTAGGAGCACCCCAATTGTCTCCCATGCTCCAGCCAGATTTCTGCACATTTCCATCTGGAACTCCCCACACCCCTCATGTAAAAGAAGTTCCAAATTTTACCTGATACTACTTTTTCTTTATAAATATGCTCACCTCAAGATAACAGAAATAACCTTGGAGCAATGGGCTTAAATCTGTTTGATCCTTACTCTTCCCTCCTCTTTACTCATAAGTCACACATATTAAAAGTACATGTTAAACTTTCAACCAGTCACCAGGTTTGACCACACATCATTTCCTTTATTATCAAGAGACTTCCCTCTCTCCAGTCCTTGAATAATATTTTTGTAAAGTTCCTATGCTGATTTCTTTGACTATTTCCAGAACTAAATCTAAACTATTTGGGGGATAATATGATGTAATTTGCTGAATGTATAATCATAATAAAATTTTGAGAAACATGCTCATTAATACTGATTTGGAGTATTACCCAAATACTAAGAACTAATAAATGAACGAAAGGTCCCTTGTTTTGTTTTAAAATGAACAAATATTGTTCTGGGCTAGAGATTTTGATGTCAGCAGTAATATTGCAACAATGTGAAAAAAAAACTCACAATAAGACCAACGGTCACACGTGTGTTTAAAAATCAATATTTTGAATGCCTTTGCTCCAAGACACCCATTGCATATTCCTGACAAAAATTCAAAGATTGTAATAAACAGTCAGACCTTGACATTATTAAATGATACATGAGACATTTATGATAATTTAGCCTTTGTCTCTTCCATCATTTACCATCCAAAAGTCTCTTTTGAAATAAAATTCAATTCTATTGCTTGAAAATATGACTCTGCACATACTTTTTCATTAAAAAGATATTAAGTTTTCAGAAAAATCACTACAATATATAATCCGTATTTGATTCCCGAATCCAAGAATAAATAAAACATGAACTATGGTATTTTATGGCAATTAGTTTTACAAATCATCCTTCACCAAGATTGTAGATAAACATGATCACCATTTAGTTTTATAACCTGTGAAAAAAACTATTTTATTATGTTGTGATAGTACATTTCTTTTATATTGTCTTATTTTGCAGCAAATGAAAGCAATTGTGGATTATAAAAATAGTCATAGGACTGTTAGGTCTAAAGTAAGAATAAAAATGCAAGTAGATTGGAAAAAAATTTTCATGTTCTTCTGTACTAAGTTTGTGGTGTAGGGCTTAATTCTGTTTGCTCTGTGCAGGTGATTAAAGCGGTGGAAGAAGGCTACCGCCTGCCAAGCCCCATGGACTGTCCTGCTGCTCTCTATCAGTTAATGCTGGACTGCTGGCAGAAGGATCGAAATAGCAGGCCCAAGTTTGAGGAAATAGTCAACATGCTGGACAAGCTGATACGAAATCCAAGTAGCCTGAAGACATTGGTTAATGCCTCGAGCAGGTACAAAGCCAGAAATGAGTAATTTTCCTGGGTGTGTCTAATCAGGCAATTGCAATAAATGTTTTATTACTTAAATTACTATGATATTCCTCTATATATTAATATATGAATTTGTATGACATTAATTTATTTAACTACAGTTTTACCTAGTGTTTCCCTCTTGTAATGAAAAAACTTAAGTGATTATAGTAAAAATCACTTACAGCTTACTTAATTGTATAATGTGCCACTTTCAGAAAAATACTCACTATGAAAATATTCGGGTAGCATTAGAAAGTAACACTAAATATGTTTGAAGGATGGATACAGGTAGACAAAATGAGATTATAAGATCATAAGGAAGGGCTCTATAAACACTGTTCTATTTTAAAACAGATATCTAAAAGTGATTAGATTTAGAATTCTTTAGAACATGTTTTAGTGTTAGTCTCTTATAGATGAGTGCCTTTTAGTGCTCATATTTTATGAAGACTGGCACCTGGAGAAGACTCTTTAGCTCTTATCCACTGTGCAAAGATAATTGTTTAATCATTTAGCATTCAGTTTGTCCAAGATTTAAACCTGATAAATGAGTAATTTTGTAGAAAAAAAATTTGTATGAGCCAATAACCATATTTCTACTTTTCTGAATTATAACATGAATACATTTATGTCAAATATTTATAAAGTGTATTTTTCTCTTTATTAGAACAATTATTGAAATGTTCCCTGTAATAAAAATCAAGTTGATCGTAAACTAGAAAATCTCCAGATTATTATTTTAATGCCTCGAGCAGGCATTAAATACTTTAAATACTTTCTGTATTTGAAAGTCAGTTGTCTATTTTTTTAAAGCAAAGAAAAATTTCCTGGAAACAGAATTTGATGCCTAGTAACATGATCTAAGCAAAAGAAAGTTTACTCAGGAAGCTGCATAAATTCTGTAATATTGATGCAGTATATATTTTTAAGCAAAAAGTCGTTAAAATTAATATAAGAACTGAATCTTCAAATTCTGTTTAGGTGTTACTAACAATATCTGGAGACTGGATCTTCTTAATTATTCTATATGTTGCTTCTTATACATCTTCGTATACATCTTCCTATACATCTGCTTTTAGTGATAAGTGGGAGAGAACTGGCCTATGTCCCTTGTATTTTAAATAGCATAAATGACACATATTATGATCATCTCTGAGGAAACATGAGTGCCAAGAAGAGCTGGACTATTGTATGATATACCATAGTAGGAAACATTTCAACAGGATAGTTTATGGAAGAAATGATGAATTTTATTTTGGCGATGTTTGGTTGATAGTCATATGAGAAACATGGAAACCTCATCTAGAAATTAAAATTTGACAATACAAATGTTATTTGAAGCCAAAAAATTCAATAATGAAAGGTTCTGTTTTTGTTTCAGTTTGTTTTTTGTTTTGAGACAGAGTTCCCCTGCCCCCAGCTGACCTGGCACTGGCTATGTAGATTACTCCGTCCTCAATCTCATAGAGCTCTGCCTGCCTCTACCTCCCACCTCCTGAGTGCTGGTATTAAAGGCATATAACACCACACCCAACTCAATAATCAAAATTTTAAAACCTTATTTTGATTCACAGAAATATTACTGGTCTATAATAAGTCCACATTCATTATATATAATAAAAACTTCAGTTTAATTGTGGTTTTATTTGAAGTATTTATTTCATGTTAGCATTTGTATATTTTTCCCTGTGAATATACAAAGATCTACTGAATTTTATTTAACATTTCAATGACAAAAATAAAACACTGTTTGTTTTCTAACTTTTATGTTTCATGTGTTTTAGAGTATCTACTTTGTTGGCAGAACATGGTCCTCTGGGCTCTGGGGCCTATAGGTCAGTAGGTGAATGGTTGGAAGCAATCAAGATGGGCCGATACACAGAGATTTTCATGGAAAATGGATACAGTTCAATGGACGCTGTGGCTCAGGTGACCTTGGAGTGAGTAATTTTTCTGATCATTTTTTACATATTTGCTGGGGCACAGAAAGTTGTTCAGACACCAATGTGGATGAGATCAAGGGAATCAATTAACCTATGTCCATATGTGGCAGCTTTCAATGAAGCCTCATCTTTTTTTAGCCTGTATTGTTAACAACTGCATGGTTAATGCTTCCTGTAGCCAGTATCTGCTATGTTGTACATCAAACACAATGTTTAAGATTTGAATAATTGAAATAACAACGTATTGGCAGAGTTCTGGCATTTGTGTTGTGGAAAAGATGTTTTCTTGACAAGTTTTTATATTGCTACTTATGTTATATGAATGTAATATAAAACAAAAGAAACTGTAAGCACAATTGGTGTGGTTAGTCCTGTGTAACAGCAAACCATACTCCAAAATTTCAGTTCTCTGCAGTGATTTCCCAGGTAACAGCTTAATCTAAGCTTTCCTGGCAGGAATCTAATTTCATGTCTATATGGTGCAACTTATACTCTCACAGTCCAAGAATATATTGGACCCTGCCTCTGATGTGTTTTTCAGTACAATCTCAGTGGAACCAATTGTGCCCTTTTCTGTTTGCACGTTCAAGACAAAATTTATTAAATCCTATGAAATAAAAGTTACTAGAACTAAATATTGAATTCTTTAAGGTTGTAAGTCTTTGTATTTTATTATATACTCTTTATGTGTAATTATTTTAGCCTAATTGTTATTTGTGAAACTTAACTGTCCTATTGTGGTTCCAACTAGATTACATAAAAAAATTAATAATGTTTTAACCTGTGAAACCATGATAACTGACATCAAATGACCTGCAAATTCAAAGGTTAAAATATTGTTGTAAGGATTAGAAATGTTAGGATGCTCTTAGCCACTAAGCCACCGTCCACACTTCATCCCTTCATGTACTATGAACATTGAGCAGTTCTCTGGACATCACTGTCATTCTGACAACCTCAATTCACTGAATTCATTGCTCATCACAATAAAAGGCAACAGGGTACCATCACTTATCACCAAATAATATCACAATATGAAGCATTCTCTTTGTTCATACTGATAATGAAACATATTTAAAAACACCAACATTTCCTTTCTTACTTTGCTTATTCCATTCTCAGAGTAACCAACAAATCATATATTCTTAAGACATGTGTGCTCTGCTCATTATTTATTTGTCACTCAAGGAACTCATCTGTGTTATATTTAAAACAGTATACTAAAAATATTCCTGATTATTTAAATCTATTTTTACATAACTACTATTTAATTTTTCAGTAAAAATGGTCATTTTAATTTATTAAAGTCATTTATCATTTTATATTAAAATGATACTGTAGGTATTTCTTCTACCCAATGTCAGATTACTTGTACATATATAATAAAATTATTTGCATTAAACAATGTCTCTTTTTTTATTAAGGTAATATGTAATCATATATTCAGTTCGATCTGCTCTGTTGTTTCTCCCTTCATAAATGGTTATTATTTCTATTATTTTTCTTTTTTGTGTTATCTACCTGTGATCTAATTTCATTTCTTTTGGGTCCTCAAAATAGTATAAATACTTTTAGTATTATTGCACCATGGACTCACTTTTTCTTATTTCTTCAAATTCTTCCTTATTTATTTTGTACTCCCAAAGTCTCTCCAGTGTGTGCTTCCTTTGTTAATACCTGATCTTCTTTCCTTGTTAAACTGCTCTTTCAGATGTTTTGTTCTTCAATTTATTTACTATGACCAGAAGAATAAGATGAAAGAATGCTGGTCATATGTCGGTTGCTTCAAAATCCTAGGATCCTTAGTCATTATTCTATTCCCTACTGAGAACTGGGCCAGCTCCAATAACATTGATTTTGTGGAGAACCTGATGCATTTGTCACATATTTTCTTGTTTACTGTGATATATTTCTAACCAGAGTTTTCTAATTAGTAAAGAGTATTTATCAAGATGATATTTTAAGTAAACCATAAAAAAGAAATAATCAGTTACTTATTTGTCTAAGAATAAAAGTAACCAGCTTTCCCACATAACCAGTGAGCTTTTCCTATAATTTACTTAGTTCCATGGATTACTGAAGGTTATCCATTTCTCTGGAAGAAGAACTTGGCCCCTGCTAAACTCTGGGCTAAAAAAATAACAATTGAGGTGGGAGAAATGGCTCAGCAGTTAGGAGCACTTGCTGTTCTTACAGAGGACCTGGGTTTGAATCCCAGCAAATATATGGTGGCTAACAACTGTCTGTAACTCCAGTTGCAGGGGCTCCGATGCCCACTTCCTGCCTCTCTAGGCACTGCATGACATGGGTGTACTTACACATATGCAATTAATACTATCATACACATAAAATAAAATAATTTTAAAAATCAAGGCTGGAGAGAGGGCACAGCAGTTAAAGCACTTGGGGGATCTTACAGAGGACCAGGATTCCATTCCGAGCACCCACATGGCAGCTAAGGACTGTAGATTTCTCCAGTGCCAGGGGATCTGATGCTGCCTTCTGGCCTACATGGGCATTACACACAAAGATTCAATTACACACACACAGGTAAAATGCTCATAGACATAAAACAAAATAAGTAAATTTAACATAATTATAAGGTTAAAAAAACAACATTTTTCATCTTAAAAATTAAAAAAAATAAGTTGTCTATTTGCTGAGGACTGATTGGAAAATAAAGGAGAATATCTACAAAAGTCAAGAACAAACTCATGAAACACCCTGATAATAACTCTCTCAATGAGTTTTTATCCAGTATCTAAGTATTAATGGCATGAAACCTATGAAATATTACAATAGAATAGTAAAAATATTATTCCTAGAAACTGTGATGGGAAAAAAACGTTCATAGAAATTCAATCTCTAGAAAACAAATGCTAAATATAACCATAAAACAAATGCACAAACTGCCATATTAAGAAAATTTCTAATGCTTGACAACAAGTTTGGGTATAACGTGAAAAAGTGAAGGGGGGGAGGGGGGATTCTGTGTCCATTGGTTAAAATTGTTTTCATAAAAGTGTATCTTTTTTTCAGTTTTTTCAGTGCATGCATATGTGGATGAAAGTGGAAAAATTAAGACCTTTGAGGTTTTGGATTAAAACCTGGCTCATAAAAGTAGCATTTAATCTTAGATGCTCCTGCCTGCCATCTTCTGTGCCTGAATCTTGCTATCCTGTTTTCTAATGCTTGACAACAAGTTTGGGTATAACGTGAAAAAGTGAAGGGGGGGATTCTCAGAATTGTGTCCATTGGTTAAAATTGTTTTCATAAAAGTGTATCTTTTTTTCAGTTTTTTCAGTGCATGCATATGTGGATGAAAGTGGAAAAATTAAGACCTTTGAGGTTTTGGATTAAAACCTGGCTCATAAAAGTAGCATTTAATCTTAGATGCTCCTGCCTGCCATCTTCTGTGCCTGAATCTTGCTATCCTGTCTGTATACAAGAATTGAATTTGAACAATTGTTGTAGCAATGACATAGCTCTACTGTCATGTATAAGTAGAGTAAGTTGTCATTGACAGGAGAATCATGAGCAGGAGGCTATTGATAAATTGAAACCTAAGAGTTTAGTCAAGAGCAGGATCCAAGCTGCTTTGTCAGACATTGGTTATTCAGAAAATGAGAAAAATCCAATGAATTTAATATTTTATCATTGTATATAAGTTGAATGGATTGCTATAACAGTTAAGAGGATGGTGTCTTACAATACTAAAACAACAGTTTACTGAATCTGGAATGAAAATGTGTATATTTCATTAATTCAAATAGCTTTATTCTCTTATCAAGGAAGTCATTATATATAATTAAATATTCTCTTCAAGCACACATAGGAGAATTTGCTGTTCTATATGCTGTAAATAATTAAATTAAAACTCTAAGAGACAATTCTTCATAAGATTTTATCTCTTGAAAATGTTTATCCTCTTGACAAAAGCAAATATATTGATCATATATAGTCCCTACATCAGTGATTATTAAGACTGTTTAAAATAGACAAAACAGAGGGGACAAAACAGAGCACATGATAAGACTAACAAAACAAAAGTCAATGAATATTTATTAGTCCCTCATCTCCCTTCTCCTATCCAGGCAGTGTTGATGAGGATTAATGCCACTGATATGGCTAAAATGTTTGTAAAGCAGAAGGGAGAATGAACAAGGGGGTCTCTCATACACGAACGGAAGCATATGATTCTGAACCATCAAGTGCTGGCTAACATCAACCAGACACTTCTCATTCTTTATGTTTGTTTGTTTGTTTCTTTGTTTTACTAGTATAGCATTATGCTATATTAAAGCAGTGTTTTGCATTATTAATACCATGGGATAATATTTGAAATGATGTTAAAATGTCCTCCACATGGCATTTGAATGCATTTGTAGATCTTCTAAAGCTAGTCATGCTTTGTCAACCTACAAAATCCTTTTGATGTAATAGAACTTCTATCATCATGTCCAGCTATGTAAACCTGTGCTTAAATGTACTATATTATCACTAGAAATGTCATTGTGCATTGTCCATATTGCAAGTGTTCATGGTGCTATTATTGTAGTATTTATAGAGGGAAAAACATTCAAAGCTACCAAGACTTAACACGTCTTAGCTAGACAGATGAAATTAGAAAAATAGTGAATCCTGCACCATTAGAAAATACTTGTACTTAAAAATCATTGTATAAACAATGTAGTCACTTTATTATTGCACAAAAATTACTTGATTTTCTTCAAAATTCTCTGATTATTACTGTTTACCTGCCAATTTAATATATGTGGGAAACAGTAAAATAAAAACTGTTGTGCTGGAGAAGGATAATTTGTAATATGTTTTCTGAGAAAGTATGAATTTAGATTCCCATCACCCATTTACAAGCATGTACTTTTAAACTCAGCTCTGAGAGACAGACAGGTAAATCTCAGGTGCTCACTGGCCACCCAGTCATGCCACAGAAGCAAACTCCAGATTGACTGATAAACCCTGTTTATAGAAATGAGTAACTAATTGAATGAATAAAACTAATTAAGGTGGAGAAGAAATTGAGGAAGTTATGCCTTTGTCAGCTTCTGGTCTCAACATACAACCACATAGAAAATCATGTGCATCAGTATACCATGTACATACACACACACACACACACACACACACACACACACATGCAAACATCCATAAAGAAAAAGAAAGAAAAAGTAACTGATGGAAATATCAAAGTAAGACAAACTACTTAAAATATTTTAATGCATTTAACAATATTGAAATAAAGATACTTAAAATTTTCATGTATACATTTTAATGTCCATTCAATTTTCCTAGGTAGTATATTTAGAGAAACTATTTTTCTATTGAGGATAAATAAACTTATATTAATATTTATTTCTTTTTGCCACTGAAAACCATGTTATAAATATTTATCAGTATATAATTATGGTGGTTTTTTGTTTTTGTACATCAATTGTATAGGTCTTAGAATATCATATCAGCTTTAATGAAATACTACAGGATTTTGTTTAAGATACACATTACTATAAAATGCTTAAAATGCAATACTGTATTTTATAATTCCATATCTCTCAGGGTGAAAATAAATAAAAGGAATTAAAAACAAGAACAGATGTGGAAAGAGGAAGAGGAGAAGAGAATTTGAGCAGTATAAAAATCTATTTGATTTTTGAGGAGAAGATCAAATAATAAATTGATATTGAGACAATATTATATATATATTTCACAGAGGAGATTAGGACACATTAAACTTAAAATCTGTGTACATGAAATGTTCTAGTAAAATGTGATGGCTTACACATATTCCATCATGTGAAACACGAACTCAGGAAAATGGGTAATTTAAGAACAAAATTGGCTACATTGTGAGATATTGATTGATAGTACACACACAGACAAACATATAGTCACACATACACACAAGGAAGGAACGAAGGAAGGAAGGAACGAAGGAATGAAGGAAGGAAGAGAGGAAGGAAGGGAGGGAGGGAGGGACAGAGGGAGGGAGGGAGGGAGAGAAGAAGAAAAAGTACAAATGTTAATATCCCATTAATATAAACTCTGTATCCATATTCATTAAATAAATGTGATTTTCAAATCATTCCCTTTTTTATAGCATACATATTCTTCAAAATTTAGGCTCTTTTTTGATCAGTTTATTTTCAGAGCAATAAATTATGTTTGCATCAAATTATTATGGCAATAGATGCAAAATAGTTCAAACTAATGATTCAGTGCCACCCTGAACAAGATACAGACTATGAAGCAAATAAATGCCAGGGATGCTATGAAGTGCCTTCTGATGCACAGAATAGTTCTGCAAGGGCTGGGCTCATCCAGCCAATGGGTAAGCCTGAGAAATGCTACTGGAGTTGAAAGGAGATGCAGCTAAATTGAAACACAATCTCATTATTTCCATTTTAATCTGCAATTATCTGTCATCTATTACTGTGGTAACTACAGTGAGTTTGTTTCAAAGTGAATTTTTACTGATTCATCAGTTTTTCTGATTATTGCAAGTCAAATTGGTTATTATTTTGATATCGTGTGTTTAGATCTTGTAATTATAATATTATGTTAATATTCACACTTTAAGAAGGAAACACATAGTCATCATAAGTATCAATAACACTTTTTTCTGTTCCTTAATAATCTCTTATGAAATTAAGAATCCATAAGTAAAAGAGAAACGTCAGATGATTTTAGTAAACAATTCTTCATAATACAAAGTTGAGGTCAAGGCATCCATTGATTTCATTCTCTAATAATGAAAAGATGCTTTTGAGGTTGCCTGAAATTATTCAATTTAATATTATAATCTCCTTACCATTGTCTCTATGTCTGTTGAAACATAAGAAATTTTAAATCAACATACAGAATGACAAATATTCCTTTATTAGATCAATGTCCTCAACAAGGTAATTATCTAAAGTGTAATATGCTAAATGTCTTTGTCATTTAGAATTTATTCTTAGAAATAGCTCAATGTTGTTTTCAAAATGGTCATGAATAGTTGTCAAAACACTCTTCGAGGAAATAATTTCCTTAAATAATTCTGTGAAATAACATTTAAAATTTGTATGTTTGTATACTGATCTCCCTAAGATATTATTGATTTAAATAGATAAATATTCATAATGTATTCTTAAATAAGATTATTTTTAATATAAAAACAAATATTGGATTGAATAACTTTGGACAGTGTGTAAAATTTATAACACTT